ATATCAGGGTGACTAGTTTAAGTTAGTGCATGAATTTAGAGAATTCTAATTGTTTTGGCTCAATTTAGATTGACCTGAAGAGTGCTGATCCTGATGGTGTTTCAAGCCAAATGGAAAAACTGTTTGATATCAAAAATAATGATATTTTAAGGGTGAGTTGAATGCATGGCCAAATAAGTATTTTTGCATGTAGACTTAATCAGGTCTTAGCACATTACTAAGTTAGTTCAGAGAACCAGTAACCACTGTAGAACCAACCAATCAGAATCCACAAGTATACAATTTTGCTAGTCTAACAAGTACTTAGTCATTGTCCCAATGAACCTGCATGACCACTCTGGAAAGTTTCTTTTGAGCTTTGTGGCTTACTTTCCTGAAAGAATTAACTTACACTTAAAACAAGTGGTCAAGTTGCTTTTTGTGTTTCTTCATTCGACCAGCTTTCTTACCTTCTTTTTTATCTTTAAAAATGTTAGCTACCAGGAAATGTCAAGTCAGCTTTCAATCAGAATAACATGTCTGAAGTTTACGATGTCTTTCCAGTCCCTGATCATAGGAATATTTAACCATTTCATCTCTGTATTACATTACTTATTAACTGAGGACTATATTGACCCTTTTTGTACTTGTAAATATTTGACCTCAGCGAGACCTCTTGGTTATCTTATTCAGTACACTGTCTCAAGTCAATGAATAATTTTTATTATTCTTTCACTGTTTGACTGTAGATCTCTGCAAAAACAGGTAGTGGAGTTGAAAATATCCTAAAAACCATTGTTGAGAAACTTCCTGGGTGAGTACAAGAATGAAAAAGAAATTGTATTCAAGATACAGGAAACACTTCTCAGTTTCCTTTACATTAATAGAGAAAAGGCTTGGAAAAGAATGAGAATAGAAGGTGTGGAAATACAAACTGACGATGTCAATGAGTGTTGCCACAGATAGTTTTTGATATATCAACTATAATGTTGACATTCAAAATATTATGTAATTGTTCACATTTTCTTTGAAAAGTAAAGTTAAATAAGTGTTTTATTTTCACAAGGTGGCTATTCTGCTTTAATGAACTATTATTTTTAAATTATTGGGCTGTGTTGGCAGGCATGGAAGTGAGACACTTGGCTATTTTCCACTTTAATTGGTAAAGATAAATCATTTAGGGTAGTGTGATCATGAGTTTGTGTAGCTGACCTTTCGAGCATTGACCCTTATTTCGAACAAAGTCACAAAGATGAAGGGCTGCAAGCTTGGTAGTTATGATTTTAATTGTTTTTCTGTTGAATGTAAGTATAAACCTACTAGCATTCTATCACAAATGCTGCTCTCTGATTGGCTATGCTACTCACAATCTATTCTGTTATAGATAGTGAGTAGCCCAGCAGTGTGTGCTTGTTAACAAACTGGGGGCCACTTCAGAATCGTTGCTTCTTGGAAGTGTCTGTGAAGAGGATTTAGATAAAGTTTTGAACAAATAGTAGATTTATACTAAAACAATTACTAGATTATTCACTCTGAATTTCTATGCATGATAGATGACAAGGGTGTATAGAAATATCAAGCTCATAATGTAATTGTTGATTTAACTTGATTATAAAAATGGCACTAAATTGGGCAGCCCACAGGGGGTTCAGATCAAAAGACGTCATTCAGATAAAAAAAAAAAAATTGGAACTGCTCGTGCAGTCAATCAGAGTGCTTTGAGGTCATTCACCTGGTTCACGTGAAAAGCAGAAAAATAATGAATTTGATTTTCAGCCCTCAGGGTGA